CGACCGTCTGAATAGGTTTCACAAATAAGAAAACGCTTTTTGAATAGCTAATTCCGGACGATTGTTCGGAGCGAAGGTAAACGCACTCCGAGAGTAATGCCCATATGCAAATGGTTTTCGTTATTGTGTATATAGAGGATCAAGAGAAATGAAACCCGGCGTTCCTTGTTCTAATTCCCTTTCTCTTGAGCACGGGATGGATTACTCACTTAGCATGATAATGCACGTAATTCTTACCGTTTTTTTAATCGAGAAAAACGATATATTTCAGCTACTTTGAACAACTTGGCGGGAGTGGGTATGATTTGAAAATAGGCGCTCCAAAATTTCAGCAAAAAAATTTTCTGTTCACCTTATCCATGATACAAATAAATAAATGGTTAGAGAATACATGAAGTTACATGAAACCGTACGACTATTACAGAAATAACTATAATCTCAGATACTTAACTTATGTCTCCTCAAATGTCAGATATCGTGACAAAATTCGTATTACAAATAGTTTATCTACTTAGGTGTGATAGGAGAGATGCCGGAATCCGCGGCGCGTAGGGCAAATAAACTTCCCGAGGATATGAGCAATATAATAAAGAATTCAATCAGTACCTTGCCTTACCGTTTTGAACTGTTGTTGCACTATGACATCAAAGAAACGAGTTAAGAAAGACCGGCCGCAGAATAAATTATGTGGAGGACATGTTTTAAAAGGAGCACATCCCTCTTAATCGAAGTAGGAAAAATATTAAGGTAATTGTAAAGAATGGGAGAAAGGATGCAGGCACCTATAAATCTTCAGATCAAAAACTGAGCGTTAGGGTAGGGGCATAAACATCGAAGGTAAGAAACTTGCTTGCGCAGTTAATTAAAAAATTGGCATAAAGACCATTTTTTACAACTACGATATCTTTTAAAATTGCCCTTTTTCCGATTAGCCGCGTCCAGTTCTAGCATGCATGAGGGTTCTATAAAAACTTCAGCAGTCCTGTTAAACGGAAACACAGTTGGACTTTTCTGAGCTGCTTCGCGCAAAGGTCTTGCAGGGAGTGGACTCAATTCAGTTCTCTTTAAAAAATTACCAGTTTGCGATTTATTATCAAAGTACTTAGCTAATCTCGATGAAACGGTTGTAAAGAACGATACAATAACGCATATCATCCCACATTTTAATCCCACCCGTTAATAATTTGCCAGTTAACAATTTTTTGCTTGCAATACGGGTGTAGATACGCACAGTTGACTTAAAGTTACAAAACTTGAGTGTGGACATATCGCAGGGGGTTAAGCAAGTTAAATCCTAGCAACTGAGATCTTCAGATCATAGTAACTTAGTAGAGAAGGAGTCAGTAGAGGCCAGAGTATTAGGAACAGTATATTGTGTACACAGAGGAACAAAAAATAGATGGTAGACATCTGACTTGGGAGAACACGACCAGCCAGGAGAGCCAGTCGGGCCCAAGTACCGGTTTGACAGCAGTCAGGCCAGCAGGCAGAGAGAGAGCGTTCACGCGTGCAGTGTTTTTATTCGTTGCCTGACCAGAAAGCAGTTTTGCGGCAACTGTGATTGGTTGATCCAGGCGTCGAGAACCGCAGTCATGAGATTCTAGTGGAGTTCACTTCGACGCGAGCTAGTCACTTCAGACATTCGAGATTTGTGCTATCCTAGCATCAGATTTACTTGGTTTGGTATTTAATGAAAGCTTTGGTATTTGTACTTTTGCTATGTCATAAATTAGCAGTCGGTACGAATTGGGATTAAAGGACGCTGCAAGAATCCTTAAATGATTTAAAAAGGGTATTTTTGGCAGATAGGCTAAGAGAACTACAACCCACAGAGACCGTAGGGAATTACTGAAGTGTTTAAACAATAGCTGTCCAAATGCCCCGACAGCTATCTTGTGTTTGCTAAGGAGTCCGCCTTAACCATGGCATATGAAGTATACTGAGCAGATTCCTGAATAATGCACATAAAAGAATGAGTGAACGTGACGAGAGGTTGGCTTGAAAGACTTTGTTATGATAACTGGGTCAATATTCGTTTTCAGATGCGCAGAAATTCGTCCAGAAGTGGCCGAAAAATGCCACCGAAACAGGACGCGTTGCCTGACAGTAATCCCATTACTCAAATAAAGATAGAATTCAGCAGCAAACAGAGAAAAGAGCTGCGGCAAGCTTTTGATTTGTTGGACGTTCAAGGCAAAGGCTCCATTGACATCGCAGACATCCAGCTCCCCTTGAGGGCATTGGGGTTCCAGCCATCTCGGGAGGAATTGCGCGTTCTTTGCTCAAAGTATGATCCGGATAAGAAAGGTTAGACCTCAGGTTGGCCCCCTGTTTTCATCTATGGCTTACTAACTGGTCCATAAAAAGTTATTGTTGGAATTCAAGCGTTTGTATGCTCAGAATTTTAATTTAAAGGTGTTTTCTTTGCTCAAACAGTTCGACTTTGAAAATACATAAATTACCTTGTAAACATGATGTTTGGAATACTTGACTGGATTTGATGAAAGCAATGTGGGCAGTCATATTAAAAAAACTGACTGTCTATCTAGAAATGGCCTATCCAGTATGTACAAGGGACTGCGTTTGAATGAACGAAATTCACTGCAGCAATAATCGTGCTTCGTTTGGAGCCATAAGAATAGCAAATAAAAATACAGTGGGAAAAGTATCTTATTAGTGGATCCCTATTTACATGACAGTGGCTGTTATAATCCTAATAAAATCACGAATTCTATGTCCGCCTTGTTGGCTAAACATTCGCCACAGAAATTCGGACGATTTAAGGAAGCGCTCTTCAACGAAAACATTGGTAAGAGGGCATATTGCTGCATTGCAGCACTCCATTTACGACAAAAGTCTACCGAGTTCTGGAAAAGTAGTAGGATATATCCCCTTAATTACCTCTTGAATTTTTAGTTACATCTCAGTATTCTTTCACTTTGTGAAATATTGCTACACGTTAGTACGTTCACTTCTTTACTGCCCATATTGCATGCTCCAGTTTAGTGATCTTTGAAGAGCACAAAAAATTGCCGTTGCTCTGGGGACTTGCAGAGCTTCATTTATCTGTCCTGCACGAGGTAACTGGACGTGAGCATCTTTAGGTTACGTCCCCGGATTCTAATTTTAGTCCAGCAGACCTCCTGAGGCCCATGTGTTTGTGACAGCACCAGGAGCTAGCCTCGTTGCAGTGATCGCACATAGTAGCCGATTTTGTGCCATTGATACTCACGCTGCGGCGGACATGATTATCCAGTAGGTCGCGTGATTCATAAAAGCTTAAACGATGCTGACTAGCTATACTTATCTAGGTTATGTTCGAACGTGATTTTTTGGTAGCACATTCCAAAAGCATGTCAGTTACACCAGAATGCCGGTCCTTGAATGTCCTTTTAACGGGAACATTCCATATTTTGAGTAAAACATGTGAAGATAACACAAGTTCCTGAAAAATGAGTCCGCGGAAAATTTTCTTCTTGCATATCTTTTTTAAAAATATTTTTGGATTTATAAGCGCATCGGAAATCGGTGGAGTGTATTAAAACTCGGTAAGCAATTATTTTTTTTCTTAATGAGGAAGATTATTGCAGGTGAATTCAAAGGCAACAGGAATATTTTGAGATGGTGTTGAATGCTAGTTAATATAAGATCACAACACACGTAATAATTCATAACCAAAAACCTATTCATGAATTTCAATCAGGATTTGATGTGCTATATTATCTACTGTACGTCCCCGCGTTTACTTGCGAAAAAGCAAAGCGGAGACTGAATCGCTGCATATTCCGGAACGTTAAAAACCTTTCGCCTTAAAAAGTGTCCTTTCTAATTTTATTTTCTTGAACGCGAAATGATATTTGACAACTTTAAAAGTTTACTTTATTTACTATATTCTTTGAAAACCCTTTGAGAATGCGTAAAATAGCTCTTTTCGAATGATAGTGTTGCGTCCTCAACTTCAGTGGCTCTTTGTTTATTTTAAAAATTGTCCTCGCACTTTTAAGGTGCGATCGACTTCAGTGGTTTCCTCGCTCTGCTTTCGAATAAAATGTTGGAAGACGATACCAAGGATGAGCTCGTAAGAGCTTTTCGTCTATTCGACATTAAAGATCGCGGCTGCATCACATTCCAGAACCTGAAAAAGATCACCAAGACTTTGGACGAAGACCTGCACGATGAGGAAGTACAGGTAAAGGTCCTACTCATTTGTCCGAATTCGGTTTCTTTGGGCCGTAAGGGAAGGGCTATTTCTAAGCTAGAAATAGACAGTCAAAAGGATTTACAATTGTCATTACTGATAAAACACATTTTTTACAGTCCACATTAGGAGACTCTATCTGAGATTTCGTAGGACTTTCATTTATGATCCTCGGCAAACTTGAAGCTATTTCTGAAGAGTTCAAAAGATAAACTGGCGAGCGTACGTTTGCTCTCGATAAATTTGAAGATTGCTTATATAGCAGAATTTAATGGAACCATAAATTTCGCTAGCGCTCATCGGCTGCATCCACCCGCTGCATAAACTGAGTAACGAATGAGAAAATACAGAAGTGAATTCATACAGAAAAAATCGATACAAAACATCAAGGTCACAAGAATTGGCAGCGTCTGAATTTCCTACTTCATTGATTGTCCCTTGGCCAATTCTTGTGACCTTGATGTTTTTATATCGATTTTTTCTGTATGAATTCAATTCTGTACTTTCTAATTCGTTACTCAGTTTATGCAGCGAGTGGATTCAGCTGATGAGCGCTCGCAAAATTTATGGTTCCATTAAATTCTGCTATATACTCAATCTTCAACTTTGTATCTGGGAAAAGATGCTTCAAATTTCGATAAATTATCTTCAGGTCTGTACAGTTATATCGTAATTAACTAAATAAACTACGTGAGTTCTTAGAAAAAATATTGTGGTTCACAGGGGCAGTGGGAGAGGGTAATTAGGATCAACAATATGGTCAGTGTCGGGCGAGGATGGGGCACTGGCATCCGAGAAAGGTGGTAAGCTGCGTACTGTTGGATAAGCGACTTTTGGTCATGGTAACTGCAGCGTTGTTACGAAGTCCTTTTGGGCGCAAGGGACCGGTCTGCGTAGCCTGATGGTGGCCGCTGCTCTCGTAGCCAACAGACGCTGACCAAGGAATTTTGATTAGGTCGAAGTCACCTTGTACAACACTCGGAAAGCCTCTCTAGCACCCACGCGACGGTCTGACTCTACAATGGGCGCTAGAATAGAACTTTTAATGCTCTTTATTTGGTAAAAATATATTTTAGTCAACATTTAAATGAAGCTGAGGATGATCACGACAAGTATGTCGCGGATAAGCCTTAGATTTACCGGAGCCTGTATACCAGATTGTCCATTGTGGAGCCAGTTACGCCTGGCCAACTATGTCCCCAGCACGTCGACGAGAAAACATGGGTCGTGGCTAACTGAAAATAATCTATGTTATCTTTAAAGCTTTTGCAGTCATACAGGTATTTTGTGGCTTTGTTGCAGTTTCGGCAAGGTTTCGTCAGTGCATCATGTTGTTTCGGATAGCACATCGGTTAGGGGCTAAATTTCTTAAGACTCCTGCAATAATTATGGATTAAGTGTCCGGCGTGCAACGTTTGGATTCTTTACAGACCTTGCGATAAACGCATCTCAGAAAGTAAATCAGGCACTCCGTTGTGACATCTTGACAGGGACTTCCTAGGCTCGTCCTGTTTGAGGTATCGCTTTGACCAATAGCCACTATGGCTTCTAACTGTGAGATCTTGTCTTTGTTTTCGGTTACACCTAATGGCGTTTCAGTTTCCCCATAAGAGCAAGTGAAAACCCTGTAAACGAGAATTGATAAGATGGCTGGGAACATACTAAGATGGCGGCACAGTGACTAAAGAATACGTGGGGGATGATAAGTTGGTAAACATTTAGCGAAGGATTTATTCTGCATATCCTTCGAGAAAACTAGGTTTTATTATACTGCTCTCCTGACATTATGTTTGGTAGGGGCCCTTAGCCAATAGTTTCTGGGTTAACTTGCATGTACTCCAGAAAAGCTAATAATTACGCAATCGCTATTAGTGGGTTCACTTTACTATGATTACATTCATTTCGCTTCAAAGGCCGGATGCATAAAAGCCAGCCAACCGGGAGGCAGGATAGCACCGAAGCTCCTTTACGCTGAGTTGGGGAAACGAATGTGTCTGCCCTTTACTTTTAACGTGATCTGAATTCCTCCGAATATAGCAGAGGCTAGAAATATTTTGAACGCGCAGATCAGCCAGCAGATAATATCGCCCCGGCTCAATTAAATCAGAAAGGGAAAAATGGTAAGACCACCGGGCTATCGCTTACTCCACACTCAAAAATAAATTCAAACAAGGGGTGAAGGGGTAGTATGGAATTACGCCACATTGATGAAGAGACGGAAGACAGAGTTTGATGGCTTCTTCAGGCAGCCGCATCCTTTATCAACATCCGCAGTCAGGGACAAACCGTGCAAAGTTTTATATTCTAACGAGGCGTTGGTACTTACCGTTATGTTCTGAATGTATAACGCTCTCTGCTCTTTTGATTTAGCGCTCCTGCTTACAGCTTACATAGACACTGACGCAGAACCAAACAGCTAAGTTGTCTTTTTTTAACCTAATAAGTCGAAATGTACATGTTCGTAGCCAACTGTTTGCTCTCTTCACACGCAAAATTGTGAAAGAATGCAATTGTAACAGCACACATGTATGAGGATTGTTCTGGTATTTCGTTTTTGAAAATTGTTGACTCGAGCTGAACAAAAACACGGAATAAAACAAGATAGTACTTTAGTGGCTTGCTAGCCGTCGAGGTAATTGATACGACCAAAGTGATTGGGGAGGTTCCCCGGTGGATTCCAGCATGCCATAGTGTGTGGGTTAACTTGAGATCGGGATGCATGTCCATCACTTCCGCAATCCACGTAAGGGATCCTCTCAGATCAAGGACAAAATTGAGGAGTTGACAAGGCTTACCTATAGGACCCCCTCAACAGGACACAGGAATATGTATACCCCAACGAAGTAATATGAGCGGCCCTGCGCAATACTTCCAAGAACGGTAAACAACTCCATGTCCTAACCAGATGACCATACCATAAACCTAAATGCTAATCATAAGAGGTTTGGCAGATTTGCTTAATTTAAATTGACCTAATTGTGAAAAAACTCGATGCGTTCGGCGGGATTTGAACCCGCGTATCAGAGAAGGCCTTTTTTCACAATTGCGTCAATTCGAATTAAGCAAATATGCCAAACTTCTTATAATTT